GCCTGTACTTGCATCCCTCAACCGCACAGATATTTTTTTATTTTCTGCTTTTATGGTTCTCACTGAACTGGAAGGGGAAAGCTACTGGTGGAAAAATGAGCCAAATGCAAAGGAAAACAAAAGCAGCCCAGGTTTGGGGACCTGAGGAGAACCGTTTTATAGACCACCAGGATTTTATTTTGATATTTACACCTGTGACTTTTAAATAAGCAAAATGAATCCTCTTAGGAAGTAAACAGTTATCTTAGATTGTGGGCCAGCTGGTGGTAGAAGAAATCTATAGGAACTGATTAAGTATATAATCCTAACAGGAAAAATGCAACTAACTCTTAGGCAGGGATTATCATAGTCTATGAGGACTAGCAGAAAGAACTCGAGCTTTGGAGTCCAAATGGGCTCAAGTGAAGGCTGTTTGATATATGACACACTGCTTAACCTCACTGAGCCTCAGTTTCTTCATCCATGAAATGGGAATAATAATAATACTAGTGGTAAAACTAGTATTGAAGACAGATAAGTGAAAACTCTAGTTCATGGTAGGCACATAAGTTCCCCTTTTTAAATCCTGTTGCCCATTGTGGTAATTATTAGTGTTGGCCACCAAATCTTTCCATTCTTCTCCAAAGCACACAGGGCAGCTGCATTTTCTCGCTCCTTCGAAAATAGATATGGCCATGTGATTTGCTTCAGCTAATGAGATCTGAGCAGCATTGATGCTTAGGCTTCCAAGCTGAAGCTTTAAAAGCAAGTTTAAGATTGGCCATGCATCTTCTCTCTCTATGACAGCAACTGGCAATGTTCCTGACAGTGACCCGCTTGGGGTCAGGAATAAAGGTGACACAGCAAAATACACAAAGGACATGTAGTGTGAGTGAGAAATGAAAACATTTGTTGTTCTACGCCTCTGTGGTTTTTGAGTTTTTTGTTACCGCAGCATAACCTACATCTTCCTGATTGTCTCAATTTCCTTTAAGTAACTGCATTTGCCAGCATCTTAATTCATTGCGCAGATATGTGTTGAACAAATGCCAAGCACTGTGCTAGATGCTAAGAAATGCATGATACTGATTCTTGCCCTGAAGGGGCTAGTTGTAAGGGGAGGGGTGTAGGGGTCGTTGTCAGGAATTTTTTTTAAATGTTCATAGTTAAACGTCAGGGTTGGGAACTACTGCATTTGTGCACATTGAATCCTTCATATGTGTCCTGATTGCCTGCAGATTTTAATAACAAAGAAGCTAGAGGCTGTAATATCAGGAAAAAGGGGTGGTGTACGTGGAAAGAATGAAGAACAAGGTGATCAAATTGACAAAGTAAATATGAGTACTGTATTTCATTTTGTCCCTGGGTTGCCCACAACTTCCTGGCTGAGCTATATATACCTCTTTTACCTCCCCTAGTGATCATTTACTAGATTTTTTTTTTCCTTTAGACTGAATATCAAGTCAGAAACAATCTAAAATTGCTAATCCTTACTATAATTCTGGAGCCATTTACCTAAAAACATCCTGAAGTTGTAAAATATAAAGCCAAAGCAATGAATTTCTAATGGTGGAATTGTAGACACAGTGCCCTGTGGGGATGTCATTGTAGATGGGCGAGTGGATGTTCCAACCCTATTTTAAATCATAACATTCTAAATTTCTACATAAAAATGATATGCGTGCTTAGCAAAACTATTAACTAGTACTCCTTTGGCAGTTTTGTTTTTAAAATTCTTTATTAGCTTAAATATTACCCCATGATTTTTAAAATTCATTATTGATTATTGAAAGTTTCCTTTCCAGAATTATAAAAAGAGTCCACTGTTACCAATGACTCCCATAAACTCTATGTTCAAATAAATCATACAGTTAATAGAAGTGTAAATATGATGCAAACTATTGTTTATACTTATATAGATATCTTTTTTAAAAAGATGAAATTATTATTTCTATAATAATTTATACATAGACTCATTCATTAATCTACTTAAATCTCTTAGCAAAAGATTCGGTCAGTGCTACTGTTTAATAACTTGTGCTTTTATTGTAGTAAAATTTCTCATGAAGCTCCTCTTTCCTCATGACCAGGCAATAAGGTCTGTGAATATGGAAGACCTACAGGTGTTATTCATGTCTTCTACTGCTTTGATGTTGTGTGACTTGGACAAATAGGCCATGCCTTTCTCCATTACTATCGTGATGTCAGTTCTAGCCTTCTCAACTATCATGGCAGTTGATTGCCAAGTTCTTGGTCAACTTCCAAATCTTTAGTCTAGTGGATCTCATTGAGATACTTTGGAACTGTGCATCAAATACTGCTAGTCACTCACCTAACATTTATTTCCCCCCTCTCTATTACTGAAAGAATCCTGATATTCTAAAAGGTGACTATGAAGCCAGTTAAAATAGTCTTTACACTCCTTTGCAACTTGGTATAAACAAGTTGTGACCAGTGAAATGTAAGTGAAGTTTTGACAGCATCCATTACTAAATAAAAAGGCAAAGCCCAACAAGGAGGCCTTTTGCCTTTCACCCTTCATTCTTTCCTTTCTTCCTGCCTGGAACACAGATGTGATACTGAAAAGAGGCAACCATTTTGTAGCCATAAGGATAAAAGCCATATGTTAAGGAAGACAGATCAAAGTGATCTAGGTTCCCTGATGGCACCATGGAACTATTGTACAAACCATGGACAGTATGCTTTCAGACTTCTTTTTACATGAGAAAAATAAACTCTTGTTTGGTGCAATCACTGAGGATAAGTTTCTATTATACGAGCTAAGTGCAAACACCAACCAATGAAACCTGCAGACTCATGAGGTCTTCTTCTGGGCCTCAGTCCCCTTCCCACCAAATCAAGATTCAGGGGCACCTCTGGGCTGTAAGGGGAGTTAGCTAGATAATATTTATGAGGGCATTGGTAGGAGGAGTATGATGTGTAGGAATAAAATATTTAACATATATTATTAATACAATCTTTCTCTTTTAAGTGGAACTTTGTGCGAGATGTTCCTTCCCCCAATCTATGTAGCCAAAGGCATTTATTGCCTCAGGGAAGATTAGGATTGTTAAAGACAAAGGCAGGGTAAAAGTAAAGCCTAATTGGTAACCCAGAGGTCCAATTTGTATAGGAAAAGCAGAATAAATGCACGATTGTTTTCTTTTCACTAAAAGAATGTTCAAAATAAAGAGTTGGTTCCGTTTCAACCATCGAGTGATAAATTTTTGTGAATTTATAGATATAATCCTGTTTGATATGTTTGAAAACAATTTCAGTTCTCTTTTGATACTCAAATTGACCCATCTTTGGTCAATGGGAGCCTATTTCAATTGTTTCCTGAGTATTTTTGACAAAATCCTGGTAATGGTTGATAGTTTCCTTCCTTTCAGAAAATATTATGATGTCTGGGATTTGCTTCAAATTGACGGCATGAGAAAAGGAAGTATAGATAAAATATGATCGGCCATGAGTTGATAATTGTCTAAGCTGGTGATGGCCCCATGGAGGTTCATTATACTATTTTCTTACATTTGTATGTGTTTGAAATTTTCCAGAGTAAAAAGTATAGATGATAAACTTCAGCCAAACGCTGTAGTGTGCGCCTGTAATCCCAGCTACTCAGGATGTTGAGGAGGCATTTTTAAATTCCCAAGGCTTCCCTTGACTTATGGATGAGCAAGCAGAGAGCTCTGGGCACAGAGTTTACCCTTTAAGTCAGAGGTAATGAGCTCTCCGGATTTAATCGACTTTACCCCCATCGTAAAGGCATGAAGAACCTCTCTTAAATGGGGTGGAAGAAAGCAGAATGGAAGGTAAGAATAAAGCAGGATGGTGGGAAATGCTGAAAGCTTCCAAAGTGTCCTGTGGTGGTACCTCTTGGCAACTTTGGTGGCTGACACAGGGCTGGGTAAAAGGGCTTCCCTCAGCACCTGTTTAGGTCATCTTCTCCCACTCTGGCCCCAATTCTGGCCCCTAATCCCCAGTAAGCCTGATTCAGTTTCTCGTGGTCAACAGGATCTTGCTTTCCAAACAGGACAGGAAGAGCACTGGGCTGGAAGTCCTGAAGACAGAATCCGAAAACTGTCAGTAACTGGGAATGCCACTATGTCTTGGGTCTCCGTTTCACGGCCCATGCAATGAAAGGTCAGCTGTAAGACTAAAGACCCCAGTGCCCCAACCCTCCTAATGGGAAACTTGAGAAACCAAGGAGCTGAATAGCCGGTTCTGCAGGCCTCCGTGCCTTTTCACTGAACGTCTTTTCCACCATTACACATTGCATCGCCTCCTAAGGAGAGACGCGACTGCTATCACTTTTTGCAGATAATTGGAGAGGCGGTGCCGGGTAGAGATGACCCCTAAAGTTGACAGTACTTTGAGGCTTTGGGAATCGGGCGCGCGGCCGACCTGTGCGATTTCTCCTCTCTGCCCTTGCTCGCCTGCAAATCCTGACCCCCGTCCCCACTGCGGAGAAATCTCCTAAGAGACGGTGCCGGCGTCGCCTCTGCGCCCGGGAGGCGTGGAGCAGAGGGCTCCCGAGCGCGCCGCGGCCCCGCTCCCCGCGCACAGCCGGGAGGGAGGGGCCGGAGGGGGCCGGGCAGCGCCAGACGCCGAGCGCGGGGCTCGCCGCGGCTCAGTCTCCTCCCGAGCCCAGCCGGCTGGCGAGCGCGGCGGCCAGCGCGAGCCGGAGCCCGGGCCTCAGAGCGGGGACGCGGAGGGCCGGAGAAGCGGCGGACCGGAGTGGCGGGCCGCGCTCGGGCCGCAGCCGAGCGCGCGTCCTCCCGTCAGACCCCGGTAAGTGCGGGTAGTTGCGCCCCCTCCACACACACAGCCGCCAGCCGCGGTGGCCGCGGTGGCCGCAGTCCCCGGATCCCGGTTGCTTGCATCCTGCTGCTGCGCTGCAGGCTCACAGGTGGCTCCGCCGTGGACGTGGGCGCCCCAGGCCCCGCTAGGAGTTAGCCAACTCTCTCTGCCCCGGGGCGCGGTTTCCGAGGCCCCGCCTCTCCCACCCTTGCTTGGGCTTGGAGTCGGGGCGCCGGGCAGGGCCTGTCTTGCGGGAGACGCGCAGAGGGGCGCTCCCTTCCCTAGCCGACCACAGACGACCCAGGGAGATGCGGTGCAAGCGCCTCCCCAAATGCATCCCAGCTCCAAGCCAAGCTCGCAGGTGGGGCGTCTGTCCTTTAGTTTTATTATCCTATTAATCCACCAGGGAAAGTTTGAGACCACGCAAAGCAAAGTTGGGGTACGGCTGGGGGCGAACTTCGCTTGCGCAGGCAGCTCTCAGGGAGCCGGGCAGTGGGTTTTCAGGGCGAGCCTGGCTCGGGCCGGATATATTCGTGCGCCCTGGGAGTTGAGTCTGTTCCTGCCGGGCCCGGGCATTGTGACAATCCCCTGAGTGCTGTGAATCGCTTAATCGTTCTTGCTAAGCGTAGACATCCGCAGCCAGCCGGCAATCTCTGACGGGTTCGGTTTATCTCAGGAGTAGCAGCAACTCAGCCTGGGTTGACTTGTGCTCTCGCTCTGCTCTGCAAACCTGAGCTCCAGCTAATCTCGGTGTCTAAGTGGCGTGTGTTTAATTAGCTTATTTTACACCTGAGATGATCTCAGCGCAGGACTCTAAAATGAAATCATTGATATAGAAAAGAACAGCATTTTAAAAGAAAAATTGAAAAGAGGAAGCTTTAGAATATCAGCTGTGTGTCTGGATATGTTACCCATCCCTTTCGTGGGATAGAGAATGAAAACTCTGCTTTGGATACCCCACCTATTCAAATCGGTGTTGGGGCTATTTGGGGCAGATTTTGTGGACAGAGGTATTGCTGCAACTTGCGTATTGTTTATGAAATACACTTTTGGTCTGTCGAAATAGCCTACTTGTTATTTCACTGCATTGGGAGTTGATTTACTAAGCTGTGTATTTTAAATATGACTAAAGGTTGTTTTTTTAAAAAATGCTTTAGCTGAAAACAATGTCTAGATGTTTAGGGAAGACAGCTTGTGCATGTCACCAGAGCATTCTTTTGTAAACTTAAATTTTTAAAGGGCTGCTTTTCTGCATCTGTTCAAGGAGAGAGGCTTTTTATTAAAAATAAGATCCTGAGATCACTGTGTGTCCAGGAAAAGACCACCACCTCCTCCAATATTCAACCCTTTCCAAATGATAGATTAAATCAGAGAAATGTGCCCTAAACTGGGAATTATATAACTGGATTAAAAGAAAACATATGAATAATTGTTAGTTGTCAAGTACCTAGATAGTTCTGAAACAAGTAGGATCTTTTTAGCACTGGAAGATTGTTACATGATTTAAGGTGAGCTAATCTGATAGATTTTCATCTATGAAATTTTTATTCTGACACATCTACATTTTCTACACCTAACACTGAATTTATCAAAATATTTATTTGGGTTTATATGTACATGTTCATAAATGCTTGCTATGTGCCACATCCTGTTCCAAGTGCTACATATGTTTTAATGCATCTTAAAGCAATCCTGGGTGATAGGTGCCGTAATTGTCCTCACTTTTTAAATGTGGAAACTGAGGCACAGGGAAGTTAAGTAACTTATCCAGGATCTCACAGCTGCAGGACAGGATTGTATCATAATTGCAAAGTTCTTTCTGTAAAAAAAGACATGATTTTATGATTTACTTATCCTTTTTATTTTTATTTAAGAAATAAATGATGAAAATTTCCTGTGAAGCATAAGAATTGCTGACTGTGGAAGTGCCGTAAGCACTGTTAACTATAAAATAAGAAAAAGTATGAAAGAACCATCTGGTTGAGTCTAACATTTGAAGACCACCACATCCACCAGAAGACCCAGAATGGATCTGCACCAAAGCACCGCCATCACTTTCCTGGAGAAATGGTGTTCAGATGAGTCACTGTCTGGCTGCAGGAGACATTACAATGTCAAGAAAAAACTGAAATTTATTCGAATCTTAGGCCTTTTCATGGGCCTGGTAGCCATTAGCACTGTCTCATTTTCAATGGGTGCCTTTTCTGAGACAGACACACAGAGCACAGGAGAGGCCAGTGTTGTAAGTGGCCCTAGGGTAGCACAGGGTTACCGTCAAAGAACTCTCTTAGATCTAAACGACAAGATTCAGGATTACACTCCACAGCCATCTCTTTCTACGGAAGACAAATCTGAGAATGGTTCAGTTCCTGCCCAAGGAGACTACCCTAGAGACATCTTTTCCCTTGAGGAGAGAAGAAAAGGTGCAGTCATTCTCCATGTCATTGGAATGATCTACATGTTCATAGCCTTAGCCATTGTCTGCGATGAGTTCTTTGTTCCTTCTTTGACTGTCATCACTGAAAAACTGGGCATCTCTGATGATGTGGCTGGAGCCACTTTTATGGCTGCAGGGGGGTCAGCCCCAGAACTTTTCACGTCTCTCATAGGGGTATTTATTGCTCATAGCAACGTTGGCATAGGCACAATCGTAGGTTCAGCAGTATTCAACATCCTCTTTGTTATCGGCATGTGTGCTCTGTTTTCTAGAGAAATCTTAAACCTGACATGGTGGCCGCTCTTTCGGGATGTGTCCTTCTACATCGTTGACTTGATCATGCTGATCATATTTTTCCTGGATAATTTTATCATGTGGTGGGAAAGCTTGCTTCTCTTAACAGCTTATGTTTGCTATGTGATTTTCATGAAATTCAACGTCCAAGTAGAAAGATGGGCGAAGCAAATGATAAATCGCAATAAAGTCGTCAAAGTAACAGCACCAGAGGCCCAAGCAAAGGTTAGTGGTGGTGGTTTTTTATTTAATGCTCTTCTTGATCATAGTTCCGAATTACATTGTGTTTTTGAGAACTACAATTTTTTTTTAATATTATGGTATTTGGAGCCGTAGTGGATAGCAGATTGCATTCTGCAGTTCTGTGATAGGCAGACTAGCATAGCAGTGGAAAGAATAATTTGGGGATATTCTTGTAGATGTTTACTAAGTTCCCCGGCTACTTGCTTTAGAGTAAAACATTTGTAAATAGGTTACATAAGCATCCCAGAGCAGACTCAGCAGTTATTTGGCTTGTATTTTCTGAAAGTAGGCATAATGTTTTATGAGCAATTTAGTTTTCATGGGAAAGTATATATGTGCCTAGCAAGTTGCAGGCCTTTTTCTTTCTAATGGGCACATGATGATTATCAAGAACTGTCTCTTGAAAGATGTCTGAGAAAGATTGTTCGTGTTACCAGTGCTGTACCTTCAAGTCAGCAGCCCAGGGCCTACCAGGTCATTAGAGTGGTTGAGGCCATTTTTTTTTTTTTTGATTCACAACATCATGTTTTAGGTCACTTGATCAGGAAGTAATCAGCATCTATTGTAAAGAGAGCCATTGGCCAGCCCTGCCCCCTGCCTCTATATCTCAGTGGCCCATTTTACCTGCCATGAAACACATGACCCCAAATATTTTTATAGTAGAATTTGAGGGAATTTTAATGACATTAGTGGCCATCCTAATACTTAGGTGGGAAACAAATTGGTAAAGAACTTAAAAGAAATTGATCTGAAAAAATGTAAATTTTTTAAAATGATGATAAGCAGCATCAATAAAATTGCATATTATAGCATAATGCAGTTCTGATTTATATCCTAGCAGTGGAATGTTGTCTCTGAATGTGATTTTAAACAGAAAACCACAATATATACACAGACTTTTGAGGCTACATCTGGGAAAATTCTCATGTATGCAAAAAACAGATGTTTGAGTAGGGGGTGAGAGATTTTGTCCAAAAAGAAAAGAAAAAAATGACATCAATCTAGGTAAATTTACATAATTCTTTTATAATCAAGTTTGATGACCATCATTTTTGTAGCAGCCATGAAATGGAAGTACAGAAAAACCACTAGTAATATTTCTACTTATTACATGCAAAAGAGAAATGTTTTATAGTACATTTTTTCCAGCATTTCTTTCAGTGTACAATTGCTTGTTAGAAACTGTATAGTAAAACAAAAAAACTCATATAGCAAAATTTATGGCAAATAAGCATTTAGGTGATACGACTGAATACATCTCCTTCAGGGCATCAGAATGGACCATCTCTGAAGCCTCCTCTCCCTGCTCTTAGCAGCCAAAAGGATGATCCCATAAGCCCCCTCCTCCAGCCTGGTTGAGTGGTTTACATCGGTAGTTTCTGTGTTTATTTCAATTCAGAACTGAGTAATTGTCAAGGAAAGGCATATTTTTTATTTTTTGTCTATAGGGTTTTTATTTGTTTGTTTGTTTTTGAGACAAGAGTCTCACTCTGTTGCCCAACTAGAGGGCAGTGGTATCCTCATAGCTCACTGCAACCCCAAACTCCTGGGCTCAAGCAATCCTCCTGACTCAGCCTCTGGAGTAGCTGGCACTACAGGTGCACACCACGATGCTCAGCTAATTTTTTCTATTTTTGATAGAGATGGGGTTTTGCTCTTGCTCAGGCTGGCCTGGAACTCCTGACCTCAAGCGATCTTCCGACCTCAGCCTCCCAAAGTGCTAGGATTCCAGGCGTGAGCCACTGTGCCTGGCCAGGCATATTATTTAGAGGCAAGGAGATGAGTTGGGGTCTTATAAACATCCTGGGCACATCCACGGTAAAAAAGAAAATCTTTTTGAGAACTCAGTCCTTTTTTGTTTTCTTACACGATAGTGGAACTTCATTAACTTAGACACCGACTTGGCTGAAGGTTATGTTGGCAACGTTTATGAAAAATGAATCTCCAAAGCAATCCAATGCTATATGTACGATTGTAGGAGGACTTTGTATTCTGTTTTAGCAGGGGGTGGGGTGGGAGACAGTTTCATACATTTGGGAAATAACTTTTTAAATGCAACTTATGGACTGTATTTAATCAATTGTAAACCATTCATTAAAGTAGCCCTGGCAAGATCTTTACCTACTCAAATTAGGTGATTGTCAAGGTCATTTTTATGATAACTTATAAGTCAGCAATTGAGGCTGACATTCCTTAGCAATTATTATTCATATCCATAATTTTATGTTTCTAAATTTGGAAATTCTGGATTTATCTAATTAAAAAAGAAAGCAGGTTATATTCATAACTATCTTTCCTGTTTCTGATGTTCCCAAAAAAATGTGTTCCTTATATTATTTTTCTTTTAGCACCGAATAGCTTTACTTTATTTCATTTAATCATTATTGTTTCTTTTGGCATTGAATAGCTAATGGGAGTAGGTTTTTTTTTAACATAACTGTATCTTGTTCAGTATTCTTCAAAAATGCTAGAGCATAGTCATACATTTTGAGATGGCCTGTGCATAATAATTCATGATTTATCTTAGGAAATTTCACCTTGGCAATTTTACTTTTGAATTATTGCTGGACAATTTTTTTTTCAGCAATTACAGCAAAGAACAGGTGCCTGATTTCAGAATCTTATGGAGGTTTGCTCCAAGCACTGAACATAAGGTGTTCCAAAGAGTGATGAGTCCTCGAGGGTGGCCATCTAGTACTCTGGTCTGAAGAGTCGATTTCTGTCTGTGTGGCTCAGTTTTCCTACAGAAATTGGTGTGTCTGATATCATCAGAACATTTAGGGGGAAAAAGCCTAAGCCAAATGCAGCCTTCAAGGGAGTTTTCATAGAGAGGAATGTGCTATATAAGTATTTAGGAAGCAAAATATTAATACTAAGCATGCTTTCATGCAAAGCCAACTCATTGTCCTAAATGCACAATTATGGGGCATGGGAATTTGTGAAAGTGGAGTAAGCACATTTTAGATATTCTTGTATAAATCATCAAATTATTTTTGGTAAAAAAAGAAAATCATCACCTCTTCTAGGCTCTAAGCAGTGAAATACCTTTGAAACAACTTGCTTCATAGATAAACTAAAAACCTTAATTTGGTTTCATTATTGATGATATATATTATAGAGCAACTGTGAAATATGGAAACATGTGAACTAGCTTTTTTTTTTTTCATAGTTAAAATAATAATTTCCCATCTCATTTAATTGCTCTACCCTGTGTGGCTTTTAATTGTGTTGTCATTATTATTATTTCTTTTAGTGATACTATTACCCTATTTAAAAAGTTGTGTCATGTCATGACATGGTGGAGAGATCCTGAGGCTTTGACTCAGAAACAAAAAGCTTTTAAGTCCAGCTGTGGAATAAGCCCAGTGACCGCAGAGAAGTCACTTAAACTCTCTGAGCCTCAGTTTTCTAATTGGAAAATGAGAATAATGATACCTACTTCATAAGATTGGTAAAATTATTAAATGAAGAAATCAATGTTAAGCATCTGGTATGGTCCTTGGCAAATGTGGGTTGTGCAATAAATTGGTTCCCTTCCTTTTATGTTTTGTTCTTAAATGAAAATTGAATCAGAATAATTTAGATTAAAGAATGATAAAACATTCCTTGAAGATTGGATTTAATCTAGTGAATCATTGAGTTAAGCAGGCCATTGTACCCCTCAGGGTCATATGATATTTGTTGTATTATAATATTCATAAGCCCTAGTTCACATATGGTGAATATATGCAAACCAAATATTATAACCTTGAAGGAAACCTCCAATGCCTCTTTTTGTCCTGGAATTTTGTTATGTATAATTTTGCTTAAAATAATGAGGCCATTGGCTCAGGTTTAGCAATATCTATGCTGAACAGAAACTTTTGTTTCCAGGGAATTTTAATTTATAAATGATTGGAGCTCTCTGTGTAAACCTTCTCTGTAGCTGGTTAGGAATAAATTTGAATCCTGCAGTTGAGTTTTAGGGCATCCAACTCATTTTGCTGCGCGTCTGGCCTGGCTGCTGGGATCGGTTGATCTGTAATGGTGCTAGGCTGTCATTGGCCTAGAAAGCAGCTGTCCATGGTATTTAACTTCGTCTTACACTTGGCACTGTAATCTGACAGCAAGTTGGCCTGGTTCTAATGAAGGGAATGATCTAAATAAAGATGCTTAAAGCTGGATAGTTGAAGAGGCAGACTACTTAATAATTTAGGTATGCCTTGCCTTATTCAGTTTGTATGTCTCTGGAAAGTTGCAATTCAAATTGTTATCAATGTTCTTGGGAAAATCAGAATTAAAACAATATAATGAATATTCCTCATAAAGTGAAGTATTTCTTGTAGGGCACTAAACCATAAATAATTTTATAAGTACACATATGGAGCCCCAAGTTTTCTTAAGACACAGAATTTATTATAAAACTCAACGTTGTTCCCTCTCCAAACCTAGTTAATAAATTAGTAAAATTAATGTACAAACTTCAAGGCAGGCAAAATAGTCTTTATATTATATAAAAGAATGTATTAATTAACAGATTTGGAAACTAATTCCCTGTCCTCAAAAGAAAAAAAAATTAGGAATTGAAATTCTTACCTGGCTAGATGCCTGTGAAGGTAGTATGTTTGTTTATCTGGGGATAGAGCCTGGTGATTTTTTTCCTTCTTTTGTTTCCTCTACTTATATTAAAATCAAAACCACCAGTTACTGCCTGTGACTCAGAGTGAACAAGGCATTTTGAGAGATCCAAACGGGCCCAGTGGATAGTAATGCACACAGTTCAAACTGCCCTTGGCCATTCCCCTTGTTACTCTGGTTTCCCCTGGCAAGAGATGACCTCAACTTTGTGAATCCTTCTGAGAACTGGAGTCGCCACATCTCTCCCTGCCTGCCTTCCTTCATTCCTACCACTCTCTCTCTTCTCATTCTCTCCCCTTCTACTCCTCCTTCCTCCCCTTCTTTTATTTCTCCTACTACTTTTGGTAAAACCAGATAATTTGCAT